TTCCCGAACCCGAACCGGCCCTCTAGGCACACTTCCTGGGAACACACTGCCTCCTTGCACCCGAGGCAGCAGGATCCGCCCTAATCCCAGCAAGATCCGCCCTAATCTAGGAGCAGCCCTAATCCCAGAGCAGGGTCACCTTTCAACCATTCCCTCTGGCAAAAATGCCAGGCATCATTCTGACTAAACTGTGGCTCTCAACAATATCCCTGTTATCACTATCTAAAAAATTCAATAAAAACATTTTTAAAAAAGAATTATCATATCATAATAAGATCATCAGGGAACTATGAATTTACAATTTATCTGTTTTATCACTAGGTTTAATAGCTGGGCCAGTACACTGCAAATCTAAAAGATATCATATACATCAAGAGCATAACATACATAGGTTTTTATGTTTGATATTCCAATCTGTTTAAATACAAAAATCATCACCTTTTGTCTTTATTTTCTACAGAGATTTTTTTTTCCTTGATAGAAGTAACTCTTTCTTTCTCTGCAGCTTCCTTGTAACTGCAGAATGGCAAGAACTACATCATTTAATGAATATTCATATCAAAGAGATATTTATAACATTTCTCATGCCATTGCTCCTTTACCCTTCCTCTATACACACTTTGAGAATTACAATGAATTCTTTAAATCCTGAAGGAAAAATCTTCAATCTTTATACTAACAACAGACCTTCAAATTAAAGAGAAATTAGAAATAGGTTTTTGTGGAAAGAAATCATACCAGCAAATCCAAGATAAATAATAAATATAAGAGGTGAGATTTCAGTGGTAAATAATTCACTAGTAAGAAAGTATAATAATAATAATAGATAACATTAATACAAAAATATAAACTTTTGAGGGGAAGGAATTTTTCCTTTTGTTATGACCCATGTGTTCAGAGTAATATTTAGTGCAGGATAGAAGTCCAGAATGTTTGTTGGGGAAATGAATGATTGAACAAATGAATGAATGTATGGGATGCAGAAAATTGATCATGCTTATCCTGGTCATATAAAATGCATCTATGATCCCTTGATTCCAGAATTAACAATCTGAAATGTGAAAATGGTTCAGACTGAAGAACAATTAATATAAAAGTGAAAAATGCAAAATCTTGGTATTCAAATGTCCACAGATTAGAATGGGAAAGCCTAGCACGTAAATAGCGCTGATACTAGGATAAATGAAAAAAGGGTTGTAATAAGTATTCTGAGGCCACATACTGGTTGAAAAAGCTACAAATACACTATGTGTGAGCATTACTAAAATGAAGAGGGAGAGGACAAAACAGTACAGGTACCCAAGGCAAAGGCACAAAAATGTCAAATGTATTTTTGAAAGAGAGTAAACTGTGGATTTTAAAAGTTTTTAACCAAAACGTGCAAGCCAGGTGCAGTGGCCCACTCCTATAATCCCAATGACTCAGGAGGCTGAGGCAGGAGAAACACAAGTTCAAAGCAAGCCTCAGCTCCTTAGCAAGCCCTAAGCAATTTAGCGAGACCCTGTCTCAAAATAAAAAATAAAAATTGTTTGGGAATGTGGCTGAGTTGTTGAGTGCCCCTGGGTTCAATCCCTGGTTCAAAAAAAAAAAAAAAAAAAGTGCAGCAAGAAATACACACATATTTAACTGAAACAAATTTTATGAAATCATACCTACCTTTTCTCATTTGATATATCTGGTATTTTCTAATCTATTTCATCCTCTTTATTGCTGGTCAAGGTGTACTGAATCAATTTCAAGACCCATTTGTCTGAAAAACATTGATTTGAACATTGAATAGATAATGTTGAATAGACCACTGAAGTGGAAGCCAGCTGCCAGAATAGCTACAACTCTTCTCCCATCCAGGTGATTTGTTGCTGAACTGCAGTACTTACAGAACTCTGCTGTAGGTCACTCTCCTACTTAAAACTACACAGTGTGGTAGAACAAATCAGTAGTGAACTTCTCTATATCAGTCCAAAGTATGAGACAGTAGAGTACCATGGAGCTTTTCTTCTCTTTTCTAGATATGTTTTGACTGTAACAATTATTTTATCTAGCAATATTTTTGGAAAATGAAACTATTCTCATTTCCAGGATAATCCCAAATTCAATTTATACTAAAATTTATCTCAATTTACTAGAATCACATTGCATTCTTTAAAAAAAAAAAAGCAGGACTCTAATAATTCCTCCATGTATAATGATTTATGTATCCACAATAGTCTTCATTCAAGACTATTTATAGGTATTTTCTAGATACCAGGCCTTCTTCTAGTGCTAGGGATTACAAGAGTGGGGAAATAGGAATCCAAGTCTCCCAACCTAGAAAGATCAAGTTAATTGAACACATACAAATAATAACAAAAGCTATGAAGCTATGCAGGAAAAAATAGTGTTTTGGATTAGAAAGTATTACTTCAAGTAACCAGGGAAGGCTGTTATTAGGAGATAACATTTTAAATGATACCTGAAGGAAGAGAAAAGCCTATTAAAGTAAAATTCTAAAGGGAGAAAAACAATTTTCCAAGCACTGGACATGCCTAAGTGAAGACCTCATGCAGGAAAGATATGTGGTATGAGAAGACTACTGTATCTCAATCACAGTGTGAAGTTGGGAACACTGATATAAGATGAAATAGGAAGTTACTTGAAATTACTGGATTGTTCTATTAACTGGAAGGGAAAGTTATTGGAGAATGAGGTGATCCAATATGGGTTTTTAAAATCTCATGCTTGCAGCTCTGTGGAGAAGGGATTAGACAGGGATTAGAGGCTCAAAGGTCCCTTGGGGAGACTGATCTCCAGAGAAGAACCAATGGAACAATGGAATTAGGTGTTGGCTGGAGATGGAGAAAAACAGTTGAACTTGAGATGTATTTGGTAGTTAGAACAAACAAGGCAAATTTAGAATTTTCTTAAGAGGCCACAAGGAAGTTAATAAAAAATTGGTGGATAAGTGAACACATAAAAAGGGAAAGATAACACTGAAGGGGAAAAATTATACTCTGCAGAAAGAATGGGAGACATATACACAAAGTAACAGGGTAAAAATAATCTTTCACCTTTGTAACTCAAATCCCATGTTCCTCTCTGGGCCTCTAATTTCTTAAAATAAGGTATTTAACCAGGGTAGAAAGAAAAAGAACTAGCTTTAAGAGTTTTGGGTCTTAAATGGATGAGCCCAGGCCACCAAAAAACCTTAACTTACCCAATGAAAACAATGAAGGAAATTTTAACTAAGATCATTTGTGGAGTATCTGATTTAATTGGTCTAAGGTGGACTCAGGCATAAATTGTTCTGTGGTGCTGGGGATTGAGCCCAAGGACCGCCTCATACTAGACAAATGTTCTACCATCAAACTACACCCGCCAGCCCTTTTTTAAAGTTTTTTATTTTATTTTGAGACAGGGTCTCCCTAAATTGATGGCCTTGAATTTGGGATCTTCCAACTCAGCTTCCAGAGTAGATGGGACTACAGGCCTGCACACTAGGCCAGCCAGCCATAGGTGTTTGTTTGTTTGTTTTTTTAAATTTAAGCTCCTTAGAGAATTAATATTATTATTACACAATATCTTTGTTTATTTAGTTTTATATGGTGCTTGGGATGGAACCCAGTGCCTCACATGTGCTAGGCAAGCCCTCTACCACGAAGCTACAACTCCAGTCCCTCCTTAGAGAATTATAATGAGCAGCCAGGATTGAAAGTCCTGAATTAGAAGTAGAGCTGAGGATGCCACATCAATAACACTATTCTGTTAATGTAAGAACAATAGAATGGGGTGAAGGAATTCTTCCCTCAAAGAACAGTATATACCCATCAGTTAAACAATTATATATTTTGAGACCACAAGAAAATAAAAGCTCATTTCCTTCTGTGTAATTATTTTTTTTTTTAAGCTGGGAGATAATGTTATTGTCATCTTATTAAAAACACGGCCACTCATATACCTAAAATATATTTTATTCCCATTATGAACAACAATGAAGGAAGAGATTCACATCTGAAGGTTGACTGAAAGCAAAATAGAAGAGGAATAAATGTGTGCAATCTTGTTTATACAAGGAGACAAAGTGCAGTGGAAAAGTGAGCAAAAGAAGTGAAGGATTTTGATATCTGGGAGATATATATATATATACACACATACATACATACACACACATATGAATATGTATACACACACATACACATATATATAAATAAAATTGGTCACAGAATACACTGGCAATGGGTTTGACTGTATTATACCACTGTTGCTTTTTAACTGTTTAGTGGGCGTCCTTCTGGGATTTAACCCCTAAATTAGCCACAGGATTACCAGAGCAGTTCCATGAGCCAAGCAACTATTCTCCTGAAATAGAAGAGAGATCAGAAATACAACCCTTCTTCAGGTGGAAGGAAGATGCATGCCTTTGTTGCTTGGGGATGGTTGAAAAATTGAAAGCCATAGGTTTCCATTACTAGACCTAAACCATTCAGTAGATTAGTGGTCGCATTAGAATTACAAAGGTTTTACAAAGTTAGGTTTTCACTAAGTCTATTTACACCTTCTTTGAAGCCTAATTCCACTGAAAACCAAAGAGAGGAATGCGTAAGACAATTTCTAACTTCTACGCTGGAGAACTTGAAGAATCACAGCTGCCTAGGGAAAGTGGTAATACGCTGTCAGTGCAGCCTTAAATCGGTAGGAAAAAAAAAAAAAAAAAACAGTGATTTGAGCATAGAAACAATGGTGAATTTCTAGTCTTAAGTGGGCGTGTCTACTTCAGGAGGGGAGTGAAAGCAAAACAGAACTGAAGGATTAAGAGAAGGAGGGAGAACTCAAATAATCGCAGAACGCGGGTGTGGTGGGTGGGAAAGGCGTTGCCAGGACCTAAAAGCGGCAGAACGCGGGCAGGCGAGCTAGCTGCCGCAAACGCTGGGCGCCCCGCGGGAAGCGGGCGGAAACTACAAGTCCCAGAAACCTCGGGCTCCGAGCCGCGCCGCGCCGCGCCGCGCCTCGCAAAGCCCGCCGGGAGCCGGCTGCAGCCGCCAAGATGTCGCAGACTAAGAAGAGAAAGCTTGAGTCGGGGGGCGGCGGCGAAGGAGGGGAGGGAACTGAAGAGGAAGATGGCGGGGAGCAGGAGGTGGCCGTGCCACGACCCCGGAGGACTAAGCGCGAGCGGGACCAGCTGTACTACGAGTGCTACTCGGACGTGTCGGTCCACGAGGAGATGATCGCCGACCGCGTCCGCACCGATGCCTACCGCCTGGGTATCCTGCGGAACTGGGCAGCTCTGCGAGGCAAGACCGTGTTGGACGTGGGTGCAGGCACCGGCATTTTGAGCATCTTCTGTGCCCAGGCCGGGGCCCGGCGCGTGTACGCGGTGGAGGCCAGCGCCATTTGGCAACAGGCCCGGGAGGTAGTGCGGCTCAACGGGCTGGAGGACCGAGTGCACGTCCTGCCGGGTCCGGTGGAGACGGTGGAGTTGCCAGAGCAGGTGGATGCCATCGTGAGCGAGTGGATGGGCTATGGACTTCTGCACGAGTCCATGCTGAGCTCTGTGCTGCACGCGCGGACCAAGTGGCTGAAGGAGGGCGGTATTCTCCTACCGGCTTCCGCTGAGCTCTTCGTAGCCCCCATCAGCGACCAGATGCTGGAGTGGCGCCTAGGCTTTTGGAGCCAAGTGAAGCAGCACTATGGCGTGGACATGAGTTGCCTAGAGAGTTTCGCCACACGATGCCTCATGAGCCACTCGGAGATCGTGGTGCAGGGTCTGTCCGGCGAGGACGTGCTGGCCCGGCCACAGCGCTTTGCTCAGCTGGAGCTGGCCCGCGCCGGCCTGGAGCAGGAGCTGGAGGCCGGGGTGGGCGGGCGCTTCCGCTGCAGTTGTTATGGCTCAGCGCCCATGCATGGTTTTGCCATCTGGTTCCAGGTGACCTTCCCTGGAGGAGATTCGGAGAAACCCCTGGTGCTGTCCACCTCGCCTTTTCACCCAGCCACACACTGGAAGCAGGCACTCCTCTACCTAAACGAGCCGGTACAAGTGGAGCAAGACACGGACGTTTCAGGAGAGATCACGCTGCTGCCCTCCCGGGACAACCCTCGTCGCCTGCGCGTTCTGCTGCGCTACAAAGTGGGGGACCAGGAGGAAAAGACCAAAGACTTTGCCATGGAAGACTGAGCGTTGCCTTTTCTCCCAGCCCCACCTCCTAAGGCAGCCTGGCCTGTTTGGGAGAGGCATAGGGAGGTCGGAGGAGAAAGGGAGATCCCATGTGCAAGTAGGGGACTATCTCTCTTTTCCCTCATGGTTCTTGGGGAGGGAGAGTGACTTCAGTTTGAGGAGATTCTTCTGGCAATTTATAAAGCGATGTCCCCAACCATGGATACAGCGTGCTTAATGATAGGCTTTTAAGCCTTAAAAGCATATGGAAACAAGCACTTGTAATTCCATTTCTTTTGTTTCACGGGGGAAAAAAAAGACGGATAAAATGTCAGTTTATGATGGGTCCATGCACAAACCAAACACCTCACACTTAGATAAAGTCTGCAGCTGGGAAGAGGGTATAGGAGTTCAGTTCCACTCCAGAAATTTCCACTATGACTTAACCTCTCCAGAGTCTTATTTTCTTTGTCTGAATTCCCCCCCATTCCTAGGTGTTTGTAGGCTATGGTACTTGTTCCTCATTGTTTTCTAAATAAACCTCACTACTGGTCATTAAAGGGTGGAGAAGAGGAAGTAGTTTAAATAGCCAGTTCTTACTACTTCTATTGGGTGCTAAAGTTTATGAATACATGGAAATGGACTTTATATAAATTATATAGCATACCTAAGACATTCAAAAATACAACATTTAGAGAAAAAAAAGTCTGAAAAACTGCGAAGTAGCATGGATTTTAAAATTCTTATTACTCTTAAAACTGTACCAAGAAAATGTCTCATTATGTTCCATAATATTGGGGTAATTATGAAACAGGCTGATAGAGAAGGTTTCTGGACCTAAACCCAGGCCTTATTCATTACCATGGGTACATTATTTAAGCTCACTAAAATAAGGAAAATACATTCCCAGCTAGAGAAAAGTGTAGTCAATTTAAACATGTGGAGGGATCAAATGACTTGGCCTATTTACATCTAGTGAAAGTTCCTTTCTTTTCTTTTTTAACCTTTTTTTTTTTTTTTAGATCACCTAAATGTGAAAGTTGTGAATTTGGGAAAATGGCTTGTAATGAAGTGTGAGTCATGTCAAATTCATTCCACTGATGTTTCCCTCTTTATCTCTATGGCAAATAAAACATTTGCATTCCTATTATTTTTACAGATTAAGTAAGTTTTGTGTGCTGTTTATGAGTTACAATACTTTTTGCCTTTTTAATATCAGTTCTTAAGTGTTACAAACCCTTCAGAACACAGCTTCAGGGCAATTCAAAGGACTAAAGGTATGGTTTTTGCATATTAGTAGCTTTTATATGCTAATAGAAAAAGTGTGGAAATTGTGTTCTTAAGTACTCTAGCATTTTATTTGTAACTTGCATTTTCTGCTCTTTTGTTCATTGCGTTCATTTAAGTCTAACTAATTTGTTAAAATTTGATATTGTTATACATGATCCATTTAATCTTCCATTTTGAAGGAAGGAAAACATACATGTACAAAGTCATCAATTTTACAAAATAATTAAACAACAAGCAGTTCAGTTACAATTGTCACTGTTTTAATACCATTATTCTAAAAATGCTACCTTGTAGGAAGCTAGGTTTGGTTTAAGTTAGAGGTAAGAGCTCCTTATTTTGGAGCCATCTATACTTAAAATCAAATATTTACTTAAGAGTTTTAATGTGTGGTTTGAGTAGATTTCTAGTGGTTTTGTTTGTTTAAACTTTTTATAACAATCTCTGTACTATGTAGCCAAAAGAAAGCATTCTTCAGAATTCCATATTTCACATACATTATAGTTTTCTCATTAACTAATATAAGCACACAAAGAAAACTCCATTTAAAACTTGGGAAACTATAGGTGTGAAGGTGGATATGTCATACTTAATCAAAGTAAGTTTCAAAATTCATGTTACTCTTTTTCCAAAGAAAAATGAATTATAAAAACAGGCAATCAAGAAACAGCATAGTATAAAAGTTAAGAGGTTGGCCTAGGGAGCCAGACAGTCCATGCCTGCACCTAGGCCCCCGCCATAGTTTCCTTGGACAAACTACTCTAACCTCTCATTTTTCCCTTCAAAGCTCTGAGGCAAAAGGGAGATAACAATAGTACCTATTTCATAGAAATGTGAGAGTATAATGGTTAATTCAGGTAAACACATAATGCCTGATATGTAAAAAGTTCTCAGCACCCTCTCAATCTTGTGATTATATAAAATTCATGGAAATCTGGAGCTGTTAGATACATACAAATTTTGCTACAGAATAAATATTCAACATTTTGGTTTTTTTTACAGGTATCGTGTGATGGTATCATCATGGCTATACATGAAGAGCAATGTATGACCCTGGACACCAAATGATCCAAAGGAAAACCAAGACTTTTGGAGTGAGGATACTTCCTGAAGGATGCAAGTCTAATATATATCAGTATACAGGCATTGTCCTCTCTTGTGGACTGGTACTGATTGCTTGGGGCCATTAGGGCCCCAGGCAAGAATTCCTAGCTCCCCCAAAAATATGGTAAAGTTATACTTGTTTCCCTCAAACAACTTACATTTATTTAACCCTATGAAATGTCCCAAATATTTTCATTAATTCATTGGACCAATGAATATTTTATTGATTATATGAAGAAGTAATAGTCATTGTTATAACCATGTAGGATACAAACCAATAGAACAGATTCTGCCTTCAGATACATACCTTTTAAGATAAACTACTAAATATAATAAACAACAGGCTAAGGACTGGGTTGGTCTTGGTGTTAGGAAGGACAGATAATTATCTTCCTTTCTCACACAGATTTACACAGATATTGAAGGATTTGCATAACGTTGCATGTCTGATAACTTAAGTCCTCCTAACCTCAAAAATTCACTTTTTCATTATATCAATCCTGCATGCTTCAGTCAAAAACATAAAAGTACATACCTTCTGAGTAGGTAACAACTATTTTTATCCTTTTATGACCAAGAAAGGGAAAACTCCTTAGCCCTTGGAAGTCTCACTGGAGAGCTCTTAGGCCTTGAAAAACCACCCCCTTTAAGAATAGGGTCTCAAGGTTTGACAAATACTAAGCACTCATTAAACACTCCCAATACCCATTCTTTAACAGCTAATCAAATGTGATACATATCCTGAGGCCCCCAGAAAACTGAATCCTCAACACTGTGAGCCCATTTGTCTTTGGTCCTTGGTATCAGAGAGAGAAGAACCAGATGAGTTTGAAAGTGATGCTGAAAATGGCCAAGAGTCAAGTAGGTAAAAATGTGAAAAGCATTTCAGCAAACAACATTTTGCTTATGGTCAGCCCTATTGTTATCTTCATACTTCACACTACCTAATGTGGCTGAGGGATTGGTCTTGGGGGCACTTAATAACAAAGATACCCCACTCTTACATGTGCATCTTTTGATGCATTGATTTATTCACTGATCCAATAAACCAGCAATATAAATTCTAAATAAGTAAATTCTACTTGACTATAATATGGTAGGGAACTTAATTAACAACATCAATAATTTACATGCATTGTTGAGTCTGGAAAAGCTTCATTCGACTAAACCTTATCTCTGTTGAAGCAAGATTGGAAAGGCAGCAAAAATATAGCTTATACTCTCAGATACATAATGAAATCCTCAGGAAAAAATCCTCTCTGACATTAATTCCAGAAACAAAGTCTATATCCTCTGAATAACTGGTTTGTTTCATAAAAGACATAGCATATTGGTTAGATGACCCTCCACAATGGCTGCTAGAAGGCTGAGCCAATTTTATGCCTCACTTGTCCTATTTTTTTTTTAATCTTTGCATCTGGCTCCCTTCCACACTCTAATTTTTTCTCTGATTTTTCCTCTCACACTTGTAATACATCATATATGTTTTGTTGGTATTTATGTAACCTTTTTCTCTTCTAAATTTTTTTGACATTAAAATGTTTTCCTACTTGAAATACCTACAAGATGTCTGAGGGTGAGGAGGTTAGAGAAAGGACCCGAGAACTCAGATATATGTCCCCGTAATTTCCTACAAAATGTGTTTGTCTCAGATTTTTCATTGGGTTGGACAGCTGATTTGATTCCCATACTTTTAGCCAACTTTACAGAATAGTACATTTTGTAGAATCAAAATTTCAGAGTATATGAGAACTCAAGACATGTAGAGAATCTCGAATAAAATCGTGAATAAAGCTCTTTCGAAGCCTAGGACAAGTCTTGATTAAATCTTAAACACACTTAGTAAGAAGAATTATAGGTTTCTAAACCTTTTTCAAAAATGTGTCAAAATAGTTATGGTAATGATAAGGCGGAATGTGGCATAATTAGACTATTTGTCAAAATATTGTACATATTTGCAGGTAAAGAAACAAAAACCTTGGACCTGATTAAACATTAAGAGGATTTTAATAAAAATCAGGACATGACCAGTAGCAGTGAAATTGTGCTCCTTTGGTATCTTTGATAATTAAATTCATCGTTGTTGATAATAGAAGTAGTAGGGGAAGACTGGTGAAGATTTCAGTTGATTGAGTAGCTTTAAACACAGCAGACATATACAGTACAGGGAACTGTGGTGGGGTGCTGATATCTTTTCAGTATGCTCCTTCAAGTACAAAAAAAGGAAGAAAATAGAGAAGGAAAGGCAGTCAGAAGGAAATGATCTCTGTACTTTTTAAAATCTTTGCAGGCACTCCACTAATGAAGTGAGATATGTGTTTGTGAAAAACTTTCACATTCTGCAAAATTGTTGGCTAAAAATAACAAAGTGATGAGAAACATAAGATGGGTGATCCACCAAAACCTATAAAGCTTTGTAACTAAGAGTACTAATACGGTACTATTTATAATAAAAGTAGTAGCAGTTAATTCCTAACAAATTCTAAAGTAAATATAAGTAAGGATAGCTCAAAGGAAGGAAATAAGATATAACTTCACAAACAAAACCCGCAAAGATGGGGAAAAGGCTCAATAAATAATTCTAAGATAAAGAGAATATGGTCAGAGCCAGCAGGAAGAACCTAGTGCATGATACATTCCTCTTAGCTCACTGTATTGAACTACACATTTGTTCTTTGTGTTCAGCAGCAGTTACCAGGGGGTGCTAAGTAATAATGATGACACTGATGGCATATAAATCAGCTGACTTCCACTTACACTGGCATTATTTCCCTACATACCGGTTGAATTCAAATTCATTTGATTTACAGAAGCATTCATTGAAGCAGAACACTTTGTCTTTTGTTCAATTTTCAAAAATTAAAGTAATTTAAAATTCCATTGGGTTTATAGATGTTTCAGTGCAAATTTTGAAGAGAAGTAGAATGGAGAGTCACATGTGGCCATAACTATACTTAAGTATAAATTTATATACTCTATAATTTTAGTCACAAGGAACATATATAGAAAGTTTGAGGAATGAAAATACTGACCTGTGTAGAGTGGAAGGAAAATGGTTGAATACAGCTACTTGAGTTTAGGTGTTAGTTGGATAGATGGGAATGGGGACAATAGCTGTTTTTCCAAAGTCACTGGACAGCATAAAAACCTCTTGGAGATATAGAAACCTATAGTGAAATAAGCAAATAAATGATTTGGATCCTGATTTGTATATTCTACTCATCACAATTTCCTTAGAGTAAATTTTTATTTTTTCCCTGAAATTGTGGGCTTATAACAAAAGTAAGTATTGTGATTGATGGCAAACTACTGCTTATTTTTTGTCTTTTTGTTGTTGTTGTTGTACTAGGGATTGAACCCAGGGCCACTCGACCACTACACTATGTCCCCAGAATTTTTTTTTTTTTTTTTTTTTTTTTGAGACGTTGGCTTCAAAACACACATTCTCCTGCTTCAGCCTCCCCAGGAGAGATTATAGGCACATACCACTGAGCCTGGCAACTGCTGCTTATTTTGATGTTTGACTTTTTCTTTTCAGCTTAATTCCTAAAAATTCCTAAACCTATTTGAGGATTTGTGTATTCAAGAACTATTTAATCCTCTCAAATTAGGGAACAAAATCTTCCAACACATATTATTTCAAGCTATACATAATTTAGTAATGGGTGGTGTGGAGTGATGTGACTACTAGACTGTTAGATCTTTTTAAATAAACCCTTGCAGCTTTGCTCTTTTTAACACTATTATATATTACTTATTTTATATGTTAAGAT